GTGAGATGGCAAACATATATGTTTTAAACTGCCTTATCTTTTGTCTTACTTTATTTTCTCACATATTGGCAAATGTTCAGTCCTGAGATTATTTTAGCTCTATTATTATAGCAGCAGCAGCAGCAGCAGCAATTCCTGACAGAAAGGCCTCTGAAAATATGGTATTAGAGGTTAGGGGATGGAGGAGGAGAATAGGGTGAGTGGCTTTTGCTCTTCCATTTAAGAGTCCAGGAATTTGTTTCAGCTGTTGAGTTGAAAATTTGAGTATTCAAGTAAGTAGTATAAGAAATACTTAGTTTTCACTTTTAGATTTTATATATGTCACTTGTTTCTAAATTTCTTATGACAAGGATTTGACTGCCTTTGTATACTGTGTATTTTTGTGTAACACTGCCTTTTTAAAGAAAGCTCTGTATACAGAGAAGTGCACATATTAAAAGTAGATGGCTTAGTGAATTTTTCAGATGCCAAAAACACCCATGTAACCAGCATCCAGATAAAGGAAAAGAACATTATGTATGTATTTTATATTCTATATGTATAATTGCACAGTATAATTTTTTTATGTCTAGTTTCCTTTGTTCAACGTTATGTCTTGCTCTTCATCTACATTATTGCATGAAGTTGTGGTTGGTTCATTTTTATTGCTCCATTCCATTATATGACTGTGTCACAATATTTTTTTATCCATTCCATTAATGGTGGTTAATGGTTAACCAACCATTTAGGTGGTTTTCCATGTAATGCTACTATAAACATTCTAATACATGTTTCTTGATTAATATATTTGCATATTTCTTTTGAGGAGGTCTATCAGTAGAGTACTGAGTAAATGAACTATGGCATATCTAGATAATGAAATACTCTACAGCTATAAAAAAAGAAAAAGATGTTCTCTGTGCTATATTTGAAAACTATTTTTAGAAACTTCTTTTAATTATTTTGATTTTAAGTAGGATTTTTGTGAGCATCCATTTGTGTACAAGTTCTGAACATTCTTAAGGCCTTCTTAATACTTTTCATACTTTATATTATTTAGAAATATTGTAGATACATGTTCTGATTATGTGTCATTGTTATATTTGAAAAAAGTGTTTTTATATATTCTGATATTTTAATTTTTTATCTTATCAATAATGTATATTGAAAACTTCATGATTATTATATCATTCAATTTTGCATTTATATTTCATAATGAGAGTAATTGTCTATTTAAAAATGTATTTGTCTTTGATCACAGTGCTGAAATTAAAGAAAGGCAATTGTACTTGACTCTTAACTAAGTACTTAGATATTTTCCACTTGTCATTACATTTTTTTAGTTTAAAAAGCATCAAATTAAATATTATTTTATCCTGGCTTTTATTTTAATTCATGCATTTAAAAACTGAAATTTAGATAAAAGATAGTTTCAAAATAAATTCAGTATATTATTTATGAGTGGAGCAACACATTAGCATTGGGTTCACAATAGATCATATCGCTTTTATTCCATCTTACAAGCTTAGCAGCACAAACAGAATAATCAACATATTATTTGGCTGTCATCTGCTGAACAGAAACCAGAGATCACAAGGAGGTTTTCCCTAGCTGTGGTGATGGCCTTTTTGTTCCAAGCCCCCATCTGGGAGGGCCATGGTGTGTTATCATATGGAACGCGGGGTTTTCTGTAATCTGCTTAGCTGCACTGCAGTTTGAATCTTCATTCCATGTTTGTGTAATTTATAATTTTAATGAGACCATGGCTCTTGTGGGCTTTGAAATATATTAAAAGCTCTTTTGTGCATATGCTTTTGTTCTTGCTTAATAGGCTCAGTGTATTTAAAACTGATGAATTTTTATTCATGAATTTGGATGTCTGGGGATTAACCTAGACTGAATATCATTACACTCATATATTGATGGTTAGAAAGTTTTTTTATTGTTATTATTTTGTTTTTGTGTGTGTCTCTGTGTGTGTCTTTGTGATACTTGTTACCAGAAAAGGAAAGCACTTACATAATTTTAAAAGGCTAGGAAAAAGTGACATGGCTAGATCATAAAGAATTGATTTAGATTTTATCCATGTTATTTATTCATACTCATACTTCATCATTAGTCTTACTATTTTAGATAAATAATAATTTAAAATAATTATTTATCTAATAAATAAGAAAATAAACAATTATGAAAAGGCAACTTTTAAATGAGTTAATACCTTATATACTATTGTTTATATTGAAATAATATTCCAGTGTCTGACAAAGACAGACTTTGTATTTTAATTGTATGACGTCAATTATCTGTTCGTACTAAATCTGCCATTAACTTTCTTGAATTAAGTTGGGTATGTGTTTTACATTTTAACTATTTGTAGTCTTCCTTATTTCTGCAAAACCCTTTTTATTAATGGAGTTTTTAACCTACATTGATGTACGTAATGAAAAGACTAATGGAAAAACAGCTTTCTAATACTTTATGAAATTGGCTTTTTATTTTTGCTAGAATACTGAAATTTATTACATGCTTCAAATCTCTATTAATACTTATAATGTATTTTTAAAAATGGAATATAGACAATCATATAGTACCTTAGAAGAAAATCATGGCCCTTTTTAGATCCAGACACATTTTTTTGAAGTTGCTGTCTATTGGATTCAGCTAGGGTAACATACAGACTTACTAGTCTTTTATGAAGTTGCCCAAGGTGTATTTTTTTGTAAAAACCTATGTTTTATAGACTAAAGCATTTTTGAAAGTATAAAACATCATTTTTTTTTGGTGCATGGTAGTCAGCAGTTTGGTTGGTCCCTTCTTCTCCCCCACTACCCTTAACCTAGAAATGTGAAATAGAGGCTAAAATGACAACATTTTGTTCTTTTCTAAGCTTATCTATCAGCTTTGACACTGGAATGTTTGTTCTTCTAGAATACCCCTCTGCATTAGTATTTTTTATTAGTTGTGCAATTTCAGTTTGGGAATTTTATTAAAAATGTATGATCTAAAGCAGTGCTGTCCAGTAGAAATATAGTACAAGTCACTTATATATTTTATTTAATCCATTATATCCAAAATACTATTATTCAACAATATAAAATTTTATTATTTTTTGTACTATGTCTTCAAAGTCCAAGTGTGTAGTTTATACTCAGAATACATCTCAATTTGGACTAGTCACATTTCAAGTGCTCAGTAGCCATATATATTTAATAGCTACCTTATTGAACAGTGTAGCTCTAAAATACTACATATAAATATCATAATAGAAATGTATATTTTTTGCATTCCTCATTAATTTTCTAGCTATCTTCAGGATGACCAAAGAATGTTTATGGGCTATCTAATTGAAATTCCACCCAGTATTTTTTATAGCTCTATGACTGATACTGTTGGTATATATATATCTGCCTGATTAACACACAAAATTAGAATTATATTACCTGATTCCTGCCTACTTATCACATATTGTATAGATCTGTTTAAATAAATATACTGTGATAATAAGGAAACAATGGCTAATGTACTGGGTGTACTAGGCTCCTCAGCAACCGTGGGCAAATCAAACTTGTCAGATGTATTTCAAGTATGCCAAGGAGCTTAGTTTTACAAGAATCCCATGGCAAATCTTAATATGTTTGTTTGTTTTTTAAAGTAAAGTTGAGGACTCCTCTTCGCATTCTTAGAATTTTTCTGCATAGTTATTTGTGGGAATGTATATCTTTCTTTTCACATAAGTTTGCTTAGAGCTCATACTGCCTTAAACTTCTGGAAGAAAAAGACTGAAAATAAAGTTCTCTAGGATTCTGTATATTTTAAATGCTCTGTATATATTCAAATATAAGGAGAGGGAATGTGTTTAAGTACTTTAGAAACACGTAGTTAAGAACTATAAAATCTTGAATTACAATTGATTTGAATTGATTAAAATATTTTAAAGTATAAAATGATCAAAGTGATGTGTATAAAATACCATCACTACACCTACTTTATAAAAAGTAGAGACTTTTTATGTAACTGGCCTTGCTCAAGTATGGTTTCGAGAGAAAATCCGGAGATTTCTGAACTTTTCACGTTTTGAAATTTTTAACACTTTAAAATTTTGAGGGAAATGAGCTAATTTTTATGTAATCTAACTTTTATGTAGATATTGCTTGATGCCTGTTGTATCCTTTTACTCACTTAAATTTTTATTGACTTCTCTGTTACTTCTGCATTTAAAGTGTTGACACAAAATGTTAAACTATTCTTTAAACAATACCTCTAGTTTCTTGGAGATGATAAATCCATCCATTGATTTCCTAATTTTATTATGTACACAGTCAATTGTAATCCAAGATTACAGCAAACAAGATGTTAATTTCGAGCCATAATCTATGTACATTTCAATTACAGAGCATGATTGTTATAGAAGCACAGAATAAAAAGGAATAACATTTGTGCTATCCTCACAGGAGCTGTCAATAAAAGATGTAATAGGGGATTTAGGAATCTGGAAATGGCCAACTAATTTATGTGAATCTATTTTATTTCAGCTAGAAAGACCAAGCTCTTTTTCGTCTGCACTGCATATTGCAGAGCACAGGCTGTCTATAGAAAACCAGGCGGCTGCATATGGATAGTCCCTTGATATCATTCACTTGCTGTGTAATCTTATTATGCAAAGTTCTAATCTTCACCTAGAATGAATGCCTCTGGGTCAGAATATAGTCATATCAGGGTTTTTGAGGTCATGTTTTGTGATCCTTAGCTTATTCTTCTAAGTAGAGCTGGGATTTAAAGGGTATTCCCCAGACGCTAGCAGAGATAGACAGCAGAACCTGCTGCCTTTTTGGAAGACAAGACCAACATGAGGTCCCTGGTAGGATTAAACTTGATTTGTAGCTGTAGGATTTTTTAACAGATGTATTATTGGACAGGGAATAGGGGGCCACCAGCACAGCAAAATTGAATCACGACTGGCATTCTCAGGGAGTTTGCTGCTTGCGAAAACAGCAGCTGCATGTGGATTTGACTTCTTTCAGGTGAAGCGACTTCCAGTCATTTGGAAAGGATGGGATGAAAAGGAACCTTGGTGATAATTTTGATGTCTGCAAGATTTAGTACCAGTGTAATGGGATTATCGGTAACACCTTCACTGCAGAAAAAGCCACCTGGCGCTATAACTGGCAGCAACTGAGAACTAATCCTTTCCCATCTCTTGGATGTCATTCATGAAGCTCAAAGCGATTTCTACCCTGCTAACTGTGATTAATTTTATAAACAACAACAAAAAATCAGGTGATCAAGGCGAAGAATGTGCTTTTTATTAATTATTTTTAATGTGTAGCCTTATTATAAGCTATATGACTTACAGATTATGTAAGGCATACATAAACTATCTCATGTAAAATTTATTAAAATTTTCAAATAAAAAAGTTGATTAATAATATCTTTTATACTTTTTCCAGTTGAGTGACAGTGTATTTGCTATTGGTAAAGATTTACATTTGAGATTAAATATTTAAATACTTTAGTGTTCTTTTAGGTATAAGGTCATTATCACTAAATTAATCAAAATATTTATTGGTGTAAGGAATTTGTCATACATTTTACCTGTTTATTAAAGACTGGTTTGATTACTGCTGATTAAATGTTTCTAGTGAGTTAAACCATTTTTAATGATATAAAAATAGACATTTATATTTTTGATAATAAAGGTAATGCTAGCTTAAACCAAGGAAAAGAACTTTCTGTGAAAGTATATGATTTTAATATATAAAAATCCTAAAATAGTTAATACTGAATGACATTTTTTAAAATCAGAAATTCTTAGTGAAAGTTTTCCTTTTGCAGGTAAAGGTTTTGTTATTTGCTCTAGAATCATGTATTAGTTAATTGAGGTTTTTTTTTAAGCATTTTATTTCAACTAAAAACTTTATCAAGTACTTTGTTTAGAGGTGTTAATTATTTTAATATTCTTCTTCTACATGGTCCAGAATAAACTGAAAGAAAATGAAGTGAAATTATCCCATCAGTCACCCAAACAGTATGCAACATAACTGCCAAGACTAGAAAAGATAATTAGTGTTGTCAGTGTTATGATCCTAGAATACTTACTTTTAAAATATTTATTCATAGAACTTGATTTTTATCTTGTTTTTGATTTAGTAGCTTTTTATTAAAAAAATAATTACAAAACCTTAATTTAAAAGTCTTAACTATATATAGGTGAATAAAATAATTTCTACAACTATAAGAATTAATAAAATCTAATAACCTATTATGCGCAATGCATTGGTTTACTTGTAGCCTCTGTTTACATACAGGACATTTTATTCTTCTTCATAGGAGATCTTTATTAGAAAATCAATAAATATAATAAATTTATGTGGAGATCTTTGATCAAACCTACCTAGCAAATTTGTTTTTATTAATGGATTTTTTCAAACTGGTTTCAAGCTCATGTATTCTAAAATATGTTTCTTCATTTGTTGTCACATTTTAATAGCAATATATTTACTGAACTGCATTATGTTAGTATATAAAGGAAGTTTTTAGCCTTCTATTTGTATTTTTAGTATTTGAAAAGGTATCCATTTAAAATTCTACTATCACAATTAAAAGGTCTATGCATGGAATATATGAACTAAATTCCTTTTCTTATCCTGATAACGTAATCACTTATTTTAAAATACAAAATATTTCGTTTATGTGTAATTTCAAATTACTTTGCCAGCTAGTATATTTTCTCAGGATAACTTTATAGTAGTTAATAGTATTTTATAATTATTTTTTAAATGGATTTCCTTTCAAAACAAAATTTGTCTCAAAGCTAACATAGTATATACTTTCTGGCTTTTTAAATCCGCTATTTATTGAATGACTCTTGAGAGTTAGTATTTTTTTCCTTCTCTGTTCCTAGGCAAATTAGAGATGGTTATTTCCTTTGGAAAGCCCCAAATAAACCATCTTAATTAAATTCACTGTAAACATAAAAGGTCTTCTCAGTGATATACATTCTTTTTAGGTAGATTCAAATGAATTTAATACCTTATTGATAACTTATGAGAAATCTGACTTATCTTTAAAAGCTACAAATAATTTATTGTCACAGGTGACTAATAATATTAGTAAAAGTTAATGGAGTTGATTCTGGACATAAGAGAAAGGGATCTAGACTGAGAGAAATGAGAAGAAATTTTTGAAAAGGAATAAGTCAGGTATAACAAAAGCAGGATGAGAATCATAGGAATTCTTGATTATTTAAGAGATTCTAAACTTTTTTTTTTTGTTTTTTGACTATTTATGAGACTTGGTATCTCTCCAAAGAGCCATACATGAACTGTAGACTGGCACAGTGACAGCTAGCCTATGATAATGCTAAATGATATTCTTCCATTTGAATGAATACCCTTCAACTCTTGATTGCACAACTTGTATATTGTTCTGAAATAAATGAATCATATATAGTCATTGGGGGATTATTGGTGGATAAACAGGATGGTTTTGGTATTTCAGGCTTTTGGAAGCTGTTATTTGTGTTAAAAATGTTAACTGCTTATGGTTTATAAATATACAATGAGTTTAGATTTTTGGAAATATATAAAAAGTGATTTCAGAAAACAACACTGGATTTTTGAAAATCATTGAAACGTTAGCATGATAAAGTTTGATGATGAAATTCATAAAGTTCTTCCTAACTTAACATTCAGTTTAAAAATAACAAATGGATAAATTTTGTCAAATTCCTGAAGATACTGAGTTTGTCTCAGTTGTCTCAAATGACAGCATAATGTCCTTTATGACGCTTCCTTCCTGGGAGCTTATTAAAACTATAGATTCTGCAGCTTTGCTCCCACAGATTTTCGTTCATTTAACTCTGATGGGAGCCAGAGAATTTGGTTTTTCAATTAGGTTCTTAGGTAATTTTGATGTTGCAGTCACATGTAAAGCAGTATTCGCTACTTTAAACCTTAAAGTGAGGGCATTTATTTCCTCTGGAAATGCATCAAAATAAATAGGTTTAAATAAAGTCTTCATAGATTATGGGGATCAGAACTCCTTAATTTGTAATTCTAGAAAAATACCCTCTGCACAAGTCTTACAGTAGATTTAACATTATGGATTTGAACAATTCATGAGCAGCCCTGAAGGTGATTTTGAAATGGCAGGAATTTGAATTTGATGGAGAAGCTGCTGTGTGAGAGTGAATTATTGAGCTCTTGTGCAGAGTACACCGTTCAGCATCCATGTCTTAATGAGTCTGTTCTCTTCTTGTCACAATATCTTCCATTCAGGGTCTGAAATGGACATATATCTTTCAGTTCTTTTATATGTAATCATATGGGAAAAATGTATTTTGTGTAGACGTTTCTAAATTTGAGAAATCACAGAAGTCTCAGGAATGTCATTCTTGTCCAAATGAAGGTAAATGTAGTAAAACTATGATGGTTGGTAGTTTCCTGATTCATATCTCCTCACCTTTCGTTAATGTGAACACTTCTTTAAATACTAATATATTCACTAACTGTTCTTCTCAAAACAAAAACAGTTATGATTTTAATCACTTCTTTGATTGGCTGCTTATACTTTAAAATGAATGAATTTTTGTAAATTGGCAGTCTTGATTTACATTCTTTACTGTTTTTCTCTATTTCTGAAATAAAATGCTTTCTCTTCTTTTCAAAAGAAGTCTAGACCTAAACAATCAGTTGGATGTTTTTGTTGTGTTTTTGGTAGCTTTAGGTATCCTGAAATCACTCTAAGGCTACTTGCATGATTAGATATTAATTAAGATCTTAGATTATACCCCTGTTCTTAGAAACTTCTAAGGATGGAGGAATCTCTAGTTTCTTTTCAGCTTCTAGAGTTCATTCTGCTTCATCTTTATAGTTGGCTTTAACATCAGTCTGACTTCTCTCTTTCCCATGCCTGTTTATTATAGTTTCCAACAAATTTCTTTAATTGAAAGACAGTCTAGCATAGTGGTTGACTTGGGAGCCCACCTGCCTCATTTTGAGTTCTGGTTCTGCCGCCTATGAGCTGTGTCATTTTGAATGGTTCTTTAACCTCTCCGTCCCCCAGTTGTTTTTTTTTTATCTATAAAATGAGATACTTAAGTTCTCATAGATTTATTGTAAGAACTAAATGAGTTAATATAGGTAACTAGAACAGTGCCTGGCACACGGCAATAACTACTATTTAAGTATTTGTTGTTGTTGTTATTTTGGTTGGTATTTGAGGTTTTCTTATGTGTAGTGAAAGAAGCCATTATTACCTACATCCCACTTAGTGTTTTCTAACTTTGTTATAGGAAGAAATCTCTTTATCTATAATGTAGATAACTGTTGAAAGCAGTTATCAACCTTTGCCTTTATGTGAGCATTATATGGAGCTTTAATATATATACTGTATTCTTTATTTACAGTATTTACTGTATACTTTGTTTCCTATATTATGTAACACAGTCACAATTTTTAATTTTTCATTTCTTTTTCCTCACATTTCTGTTAATTGATAGAGTACATAAGCTCTCCTTTAAAGGAATTGATTCTTTACATTGATGAATCAATTTCTGAAAAATGTAAATGTGATAGAGAATAAAAAGCAACAAATTCTGTTTCCTATAGAGTAAGAATTCTTTATGCTAAAGTTTCCCAATTTTTTTTCATAGCACACATGGAATATGATAAATTAAATGGCACACAACAGTAAATGACTAGATGAGCAAAGCCCCACAAGGCTAGTTATGGCCACTGGCTACCCTAACAGCTTAGAGCAGTGGTTCTTATATGCTGCTGTGCTTCAGAATCACCTAGAGGACTTTCTAAAACACAGATTGCGGAGTGACACTCACTAGTTTTCTAATTACATAAATCTTGAGTTTGGCCTAAGAATTTTCATGTCAGACAAGTTGCCAGATGTTGCCCATTCTCCTAGTCTGGTGACCACACTATGATAAACACTAGTTCAGTGTGTTGGTATCCTGGTGTGGTAGATGGTAGGTCTCAACCAAGCTGTCCAGTGTCCTAATCCCTAGAACCTGTGACTGTATTACCTTACATAGCAAAAGATAGTTTTGCAGATATAATTAAGGATCCTGAATGAATATTCCGGTGGGTTCAGTGTAATCACAAGAGCCCTTAAAAGCGGTAAAAGGCAGAAGAAATAATCTGAAGGAGATGTGACTATGGAAGAATGGTCTGAGGGATTCAGTGCTGCTGGCTTTGAAGTTGGAGGAAGGGGACCATAAACCAAGGAATGTTTGCAGCGTCTGGAAGCTGGAAAATACATAGAAA